GTATAATCACTGTGTATACTTAGCATATCAGAACTACAACGCATGTGTGCTTACTTTCACTTTATTTTCTTATAATCACTAACATACTCTTTGCTATGCATAGAAGCTCTAACCATAACATTAACTATATTATATCATTAACAGAAACGAGGAATTATTTTTGATTTGTAAATGTATCTGATAATTTGCTGCCATGGAAATATACTGTACATATTTATGTTTATATGTGTGTATGATTTCATGTTGCATCTTCATTAATTAAGACAGAATAATTATACTTTCTATAAGTTATATTATTATATTAATTAATGAATTAATTATATTATTATTATATATTTAATATATTTAAATATAACATATTTTTAAGTAATCCTGCGTCCCCCTTGGAAGTTTGCTGAAGTTCCCTGGTTGAGAACCACTGGAGTACACATTTACCATCTGTATTCTCGCTTACAGTTGTGTGCTTCACAAAGGCGACATCACCTGCATTCTCAACCAAGCACCTGTGAAGCCCAAAACAACAGTTAAGTGACACACTGAGAATATTTCTCATTATCAAAGCTGTAACTGCACCAGCTATGTTTCACTACGGTATGATTTTAATGTTTAAATAAATATGGTACCTGAATGCTCCTTTATATGCATAGTACTGCTCAGAAGTGCTTTCATCACACTTATATTTTCCTGTTCCATCTCCCACACACAGCTGACACAGGGACGCAGGGTCATCTTTAGCCCCAGGGATACAGCTGGCGTTAAAGAAGTCAGCAACCCCTAAAACATGAAGATAAGCCACAAGATACTTTTTCATCTGACAATTTAAGATGTGCTGCACCATAAACAATGGACTACCTTGAGGGATGTTGCAGCCCATGACTGACATCATTCCACTGTCAATCAAATACCCCAGAGGGACGTTCCAGCCAGCTGTACGGTGCTTGCCAGTGTGACAAGACTTCTTCCCCTTCAGACTGTTGATGTTGATAGCTGAATTTGTCCTTTTCACCACAGCAACACCGTAGTATGTTATTCCTTTCCCTGTGGCCATTAGATGAAGAACAAATTTTAAGACTTTGTTGACTAACTAGTTGCTCTAAAAGTAGAATTTTGCCAGATAAAACAATGGATAGTCCATAACATATATACTTATAATGGACATTCACTACATTTTTTTAATTATAATAAAGTATGTAATCAATACAGATACAGAAATTGTAAATCGGTTAATATTCAATCTAATGTTGCTGTTGACATTTATGTCTTTAATCACTGCCCTTCCATTTCAAGGGCAGATTTTAGAGTTGCAACTCGCATAATCCGGTATCTACAGCACCAAAAGAAGAACATACCATCTGCTCCAGATTCTCCAGCTGCAATTTTGAAGCTGGCTTGCTTGCCAATGTCATATATTTCTTTAGCACTGGCTGAGAAGGCATCGACTTCATTTTTCTGTCAAAAGCAATATTGATCACAATTGCAACTTGAATATTGAAAATTTTCTGGGACGAAGATTAGTTTAGTGTACTTCTGCAAATAAAATGAACAGACAAAAGACTACAAATGCACACTATCTGAGCAGGGACACATTATCATTTGTCGTATGTTTGTGATCAATTCTCTGTGTGGCAGAAAAGCTTTTTAAATCTGAACCTTGGATTTTTCTGTGATGCTACAACCCTCATAAAATAATAATGTATTAAAACATTTAAAAAAATAATAATTTCAATGTGAAAATTATAAATATGTGAACATGATTTTTATTTTTACTTTTTTCAGGTAGTTTGACATTTTCTGTTCTATAAAAGTGACACAATTTAGAATTTTAATGTTTAAGCAAAAATATAAAGAAAATTGTCACATGTAAAATTTCATTTTGCACATGCACATTTCCATCATATTAAAAAAAACATTGAGAACATTAATAATGACCAGACAACTCTGACTGAATGTTGTATTAATATTACTGGAAGAACGTTTATTCATAACTTTGACAGAACGATAGTCAAAGTTCTGAGAACGTTTTCCGTTAGCTGGTTGGGTGACTGGATAGACAGACTTACGGTGAGTTTTTGAGCGCATTCGGCTTTAGATGAGACGAGGACGCACTGTAGCGCTGGTCGAATTGCAGCGCTGGTGAAGGCCTGAGCCATTGCTTCACATTTGGACTCCTCCGCAGGAGAAATAGTGCACCATCTTATCGTACTCTGCCCTGACACTGGACGAAGTTATTTATAATATTATCACCATTATTTTTAGCCTTCCACACCTTTATCTCCAAAAGAGTCTCAGATTCATACTGTTGCTTACATAAGTAAAAACACATTTCCTACAGTATAGGCTAGCTACAATACATAAAGACAGAGCTACAAAAACTCTTTTCACCTCATATTCTTACCGTAATGCGTGACCGCAAGCAGAATGCTTAGAATAGCCCAGGTGTCCATCTCTGACTCGAGAGTGCGCAGATGTTAGTGTGTTACTGTAGCTTTATATCTGAGAGACTGTTGCAAAGTCCAAAACACGACTCAGCCCTTCGACATAACTAAACGGGAAATGGTACCTTAATCATAAAAGATACTTACATAATTAAAAACATTTCCTACAGTATAGGTTAGCTACAATACATAAAGACAGAGCTACAAAAACTCTTTTCACCTCATATTCTTACCGTAATGCGTGACCGCAAGCAGAATGCTTAGAATAGCCCAGGTGTCCATCTCTGACTCGAGAGTGCGCAGATGTTAGTGTGTTACTGTAGCTTTATATCTGAGAGACTGTTGCAAAGTCCAAAACACGACTCAGCCCTTCGACATAACTAAACGGGAAATGGTACCTTAATCATAAAAGATACGTGCAGTCAAATTCAGGATTTATAGACTATAATGTGACCAGACATGAGGACGACACGTCCAACAGACGGGCGGAGGTCCAAGGTGCACACAGAGTGGTCTTTCATTCTTTGAAACTCCACCTTTTTCAATAAGGGAATTTAAAAAAAAAGGCTCTGAATCAAGGGCAGTGTCACTTAGACCCAGGAAAAATAACTTTTAACCTTGAAAAAGAAGCAAATGACAATCAAACGTAGTTTAGATATTTTGTTCAAAACGGAGACAAAAGGTGTTTGGACACATTCTGGCGGTCAGTTTCAGTTTCTTCCCCCTAAAGTGTCCAAAATTGTCCAAACAATACGTTTTCGAGCCATGCAGGATAGGCTATAAGAATATATCTATCTATAAAACCATAGAGATAGACACTTCTTGACTAAGTATTGAAATTATTCAGAGACTCAAACACTTTTTGATTTTGTCTGACGTAAAACTTCATTGTATTCGTTTTAATAATCATTTTACTGTCATCATAAAGTGTTACATCTATTCAGCTGCTACCTAGAGGTGTAATGCCAACAGGGAATTGTGACTGTGATTTTTCTTGTTTTACAACAGGATGGAAACATGTTTAACGACGACAAATACAGTACAATAATACAATAATGCAGCACACTTTATGGTGTTAGTGTTTTCTCCAGCTCTTTTGGTGTGTTGCTTAAAGTGATAGTTCAGCCAAAAATGTGCGCAACACAAAAGATGACACTCTGAAGAATTTTGAAGAATGGTAACCAAACCGTTTTGGTTAGCAATTACTTACTGTATGGGGGGGAAAATCATCCTTTTATGTTCCACAGAATAAGTAAAGTATACAGATTGATGACAATTTTCAATTTTGGGTGAACTATCTCTTTAAAAAGAAGAACCTAGGATAACTGTTCAAAAGATGAAGCATCTGTAACATTTATTTATTATTTACATGAATCGAAGACCGTTTTGCTCTCTAATACTTTTGTCAAACTTTAAAGAAATGTTTTAGCCTACCTTTTCATACACAAATAGATACACAAAAACGTACATGAGAAAAAAGTTTTTATTAGCTGTTCTCCTTTGACAAATGGAATGAATCAAGTTGGCAGATTATGTACATAATCTAGTCAAAAATGTGTTAGAAAGCCAAGATGACAAGTTAGAGAAGCAATCTTTTAGAAAACGATCATCTCCGAGTAATTTAAGAACGAAAGGGGACGTTGTCAGCGCGCCCCCTGGCGGAGAGTTAAAGGCTTGTGTTAGAGAGTGGCAAAGCAAATCTCTCTTCAGCTATGGGCAGTCGACAAGTTCACACACATGGAGGCAAGAAGCTCCTAGCCTCTAACGTTTACAGTTCATGCTAACTCTGACATTTTCACAATCCCAGGTGAAAACAGAAAGAGAAGCCCTCTCCTCCGCTTCTCGCTCATGTTTAATGTGTCAAAGACTATTGCTTTTAGAAATCATGCACGTCACATGAAAAAGTAAATATGGCATAACTACATAGGAGAGAGCAGAAGACTACAAACTGCCAACTTGAGTTTTATTTCATATTGTTTGAGCAGATGCAAATGGAACACCACCATTCAGCCCATGTGTCCTGTGTGTCAGTGTTTTTGCATAAAACAAACCATTAACAACAAAAGTGATGGTGGTAAAAGTAAAGGAAAATATATATTTATATATATATTTATATTTATTTTTATATACATACACGCATATTCATACGAGTGTATGTTTGACATTATACAGAAAATAATTCCCATAGGTGTGGAGTTTAATTAAAGCTCAATATAGACTTTATTATAACAAAATAGGCAGTATACTGAGGGTTGAATATACATTACAATTTATTCTCTCTTATTTGCATTGTGGTTTCTTTAAGTAAGAATATGTCATCACCTGGATTGGAAAGATAATTGTAAGCTGTTCCTTTTCACCTCAACTAAAAGCTACTCCCATTTGCACCTTGAATTGTACACAGATTGTTAAGACAAATAGACATTTAATATAAAAAGAAGAACTTTTGTGCCAAATGTTTATGTCCTCTTTGTGCACTTGTGACAAAACAGATCAGCTGCTTAACATTAGTGGGCTGCTTGATTTTACAAGATAAATGAGAGAAAACAGAAGTAATATGGTGGCTGCAGTTCACGTAGCTCAAAAACGTAAGAACATATGTTAACTGAAAAAAGAATAATTCAAAACATGCTCTTAATACAAAAACGTGCAAAGTGTGGCTTTATGTCTTTTCAGAGACCGACACGAAAGCGTTAACGTCTGATCATATATGGGAAAAAGAACAAACCAAAATGTATATAATGCATTAACTCATTGGTTTTCCTTCGAGAAAGTCACCTCCCTTAAACATTAAGGAATCTGTACCGTATAATCTGTCCAGTAAGTCGCTGGTCAGGCATGTCTCCTCCCACCGGAGGATGAAATGCGGAGATTGGGATGTGAGTTCTAGACAGCAGTTTCAAAGAGAGGCATGAGAGAGAGAGAGGTGGCCGTGAGACCACCATGACCCCAAGCCCATCCAAAGAAAATGTATTTCCTATGCTCAGGGGTCAAAAAGCCAATGCAAGAAGCAGGCCAGGTTAGTACAAAAAAAAAAACCCCGAAAGAAAATTTAAAAAAAAAATACTAAAATAAGGTTTATTTGTCTCCAGCCATCTCACAATTTCTCTTTGACAGGTACCCAGATGAACGGCCCAGACTGCTCCTCGATGATCTGCTTAACCTGGTTGTAGATCTCTTCTAATGTGTCCCCTTGTACAATGGCTGAAGGAAAGATTAGATGAACATCATTAAGTATCATACATCTCCTTGTTCAATGGAAAAAATATTTCTCAAAAAGTTCTCCGGAAACGTGGGACTGGATACAGGCGGCCCACAATGATTTGCCACTGGTAGCAAATGCTGTCACTCTTTAGTAATATTTGGTCATATATAATAAAATAAATACAAATAGTTGCTAACGGCACCTTGGAATACTTCAAACTATCATATAATAAACATAAAAAATTGGTACACATTCAACAATTTGGAGAATTTTCACGTTCATTGCCCACTGTCATTAATGTAATGATGTATGAAGCACAGCTCATACAGAAATCACTTCCAAACCAAGCAGCACTTTTTATTGGTCAATGTGTATTGCGAAATCTATGCGAATTAAGCTGGTGTTGCTACATTTCATGTATTGTTGCAGCCGTATAAAACTCAAAAATCTTTTGTGTAAGCACTAATACAAAGAAACCAAATGTCATTTGCAGTGAGTTTGTTTTCAAAGGTCTGTTCCCACTTTTTTGCCACTGGTAGCAAATGCTGTCACTCTTTAGTAATATTTGGTCATATTTAATAAAATAAATACAAATAGTTGCTAATGGCACCTTGGAATACTTCAAACTATCATATAATAAACATAAAAAATTAGTACACATAAGCAACAATTTGGAGAATTTTCACATTCATTGCCCACTGTCATTAATGTAATGATGTATGAAGCACAGCTCATACAGAAATCACTTCCAAACCAAGCAGCACTTTTTACTGGTCAACGTGTATTGCGAAATCTATGCGAATTAAGCTGGTGTTGCTACATTTCATGTTTATATTGTTGCAGCCGTATAAAACTCAAAAATCTTTTGTGTAAGCACTAATACAAAGAAACCAAATGTCATTTGCAGTGAGTTTGTTTTCAAAGGTCTGTTCCCACTTTTTTATTCAAAATGATTGCTTCCTCTTTTAATATTCTGTTTTGGAAAATGTAACATTCATTCATTTTGAATACTGAACTTAACTGAAAGTAAACATAATATAGTAAGACACAAACTCCAGGAAAATCTTCTGGAAATACTCCAGGCAATCTTTCCTCTGGCTTAAGAGGAAAAAAGGTTATTCGCTGCGAGGAGATACAAAACCACACAGTAAATATGCACATCCTCCACCTTTTTGTGATGTTTTATTAAAGACCACAACCTTATTTATGATTTGAATGGCAGTGGTTTTGTGCAAATTATGATTGCTTTTTAATCAAATTCTAATCAGTAAGCTTGGCTTTTGTCAATATTGGCAGGGGGATAAATATAAAAATAATGGTTTTTGAGTCTTAAAGGAATAGTTGAACTAAAAATGAAAATTCTGCCATCAGTACCTCTATGAATATTAAAAAAGTTTTTTTTTTTTTAATTAATTAATTTTTTTGTCTCTGTAATGACATTCAGCTGGGGCCCAATAACGGTCACCGTCCCACCTGTGGGACGCTTGGCGCTCTTTTTTTGTTGTCCTTTTTCTCTATCAAATCTTTTAGTAATCATCATAAATCATATATCATTTGAAAGTTTAGAAGCTCAAGATTCATCCTGTGAAAACTATTTTGAAATCAGACATTGCGTTACCATGGAAATGGTACTTTAAAATCTTTTGGCGGTCTCCTCCCCCTTAGTGGGCAGTGTCAAGTGTCATATTACAAAATTCATTACGGTCTTTTAGAAACAAACCTTTTTATAATCTTGACAAAAAACATATCATTGGAAAGGTCTGAGTCTCAGGATTCTATATTTGGTGGTATTTTGAGATAGAAGTAATATCGACAGAGAAATCTAGACATTTGTGACAGAAAAATGCAGTGAGTTTGGATGGCACCCGGTGGCTGTTTGTGGTATAACGCCCTAAATAAAATCTCACAGGAACCTCAATTTGTTTCATATCAACTTCAAAAAATTCAATGGAGTTTGGATGGCACCCGGTGGCTGTTTGTGGTATAACGCCCTAAATAAAATCTCACAGGAACCTCAATTTTTTTCATATCAACTTCAAATTTGGAACATAACTTATTTAGACATAAGGCTTTAATTTTATACCAATTTTAGAGTAAAACCTGTTATGTAAAATATTTATTATATATAAAATAAAATTAATATAGTGCATTTTCTTTACAGTAAATTTAAACTACCATAACTTTTTGATACTTTAATTTTTTTTGCAATAATCTGCTGATTTTCTTCTTTAAAAAGAGACCAACCTTATGTCTGTATTCCAAAGTGTTCATAAATTACAACAATTTAAGTTTGGATAGTGCACCTGCATGCCTATTTTAAAAAATGGGGGGTGACAGTTAAGGGGTTAATTTGGACCCTATTAACTGTATGGACAAAAAAAAAAAATGTTCTATTATGTTACACAGATGAAAGTTGTACGGGTTTGGAATGAGAGATGATGACTCTAAACAATATAAAATTTGTTTAGATATCAAAATAGAGTTTAAATGCAGAGTACGGCTTCGTTGCAGGACAGGTATATGTGAAAATGACTAAGCAGAAAGGTCACAGCTGATTGGGATATAGGTTTACTCTACTGTTCTCACCGGTGAAGTGCTCTAGGAATTCCTGCTCCAGTTTCATGGCTCTGTCATAGGTCTTCATGCCTTGCTCCTCCATCAATCTTTTATTCATCTCTCTGCGAAGGACACAGAGGACACATTACTAGTGCCAATAAGTCAAAAATAATCAAGCTGTAGCATTTATTGTGTGTTTGACAGTAAAAATAACATACAAAATATTCTCCACTGATTTGGGTTTCACGAACACCGCAATGGGGTAGAGCTGTGCTAACTGGAGTCGTTTGATGGCATTGCCCGAGACATCCAGGATGCAGTGCTTGCCCTTAAAGAACAATGAAAAACAGATCGTCATGTGAGAAATGAGAAAAATTGCAAATCTGCACAATGCAAATCTGAAGGTCAGCATGATTACTTTTTTATCACTGCCATAATTTTCTTTATTACTTCCTAACAAGTTGAACTCGTTCACCTTTTCTGCAACCTCTCGCACTGACTGCACGCTTGTCCCGTAGAGGTGGTTGTTATATTGGCCGGCCTCGATGAACTTGTGATCTTGAATGTCTTTTTCCATTTGTTCCCGTGAAATAACAAAATGGTAGTCTCTGCCATCAACCTCGTAGTCTCGCTTTGGTCTAGTCGTGTCTGGTCAAAGAACAGAAACGACCATAAAAACAATGCAGACGGTATGAAATTCTGCAGAAGAAATGATAAAACCATGGTTATGTACTCACGGGGAACACATGATCCAAACTTGTCCGGGAACTCCGAGATTAGATCATCATTGATCCGGTCTTTCATGGGTCCAAGGATAATCACCGGACGAGCATAACTCACTGTAAACCATAATAACAACCTTACAATGGGTCCTTTACAATCAATCAGTCAAGCAGCATTACACACCAACACAGTAAAATGAAGATATATGAACCAATGTACCATAATATAAGAAAGCCATAATGAAAGACACTCACCTTCTTGTTGCGTGACTGTCTCATATGAGAGGACATACTCTTCCTGTCCACCTAATAGAGACAGAAACACTGATATAAGTTCACAAATTATTATGTACTGTGTAAATCTGATGTTGAGTGTTCAAATGCATTTCTTTTGCATTCATTGCTATTCATTTACATTTCAAATATATTACTTGGTTACCCTATGCTTACATGCTTTTGTTTTGAACAGTAGTCTCTAATTTTCACTCACTGTTCAAATGAGATTTAAGAGCCATGTGGCATTAACAAAGTTCAAGAGGTTTTTCAGACCACTCGATGTGAATGACAGGCCAGTTACAAAACTGTTGAAAGACACAGGCTGTTCAAATGACTGTGACATGTTATTTGAAGGTAATATTCCAGGCCATAATATTCTGTGTATGATCACTAAGCAAGGTACACATATAACCAGCACCTGTTTTATTACCTGAAACTACCATGTATGGCAAATCATATAACTAGCTTATGAACTATAAAGCATAGTAGAGTAAAGTGAGCTTATGTTGGTTAAATCAATAGTGCGTTGTAATTATCTCGGCTTTTGCTGCTGCATTTTTAAACAACCTATTTTAAGATTAAAATATTTCTTTATTTGAAATATTAAAATTAGGGATGCACCGATACCGATACTGGTATCGGTATCGGGCCCGATACTGGTCTCCTGTACTCGTACTCGTACTCGTTAAAATGCCCCGATACCAAACGCCCATACCACACAGCATGTGATAAGTGCCATATTCAAACAAAGAAACACCAACAACAGAACAACAGACAGCAGAAAGGAGTTAAGGAAATAAACAATTTTTGCGTAAAATGTTGGTCTTGAATAGTACACATCTTTCAATTTTGTGTGTGCATATAACACAAAGCAAAGCTGAGGGAACAAAGGGAATTAAATACTCAAACTGATGAAGTTTAAAAAGATGTGATGAAACAACGTGATGAAAGGAAATAAAGGGGAACACAAACTTACGGTAACTACTTTCACTATCGCTGGCATTAGAAGTTACATGCTCTGAAACCATAAAAAGGGAAAATGAACACCACATACACAAAAACAAGCTTTGCAGGAATATAACAAACACAATACTAAGAGCAGTCACCAGCAGATGGCAGCGTTAAGAACCTGTGCAGGACGTGACTCTTGAGGCTTTGAAGCTGATCTTATTTTGCTCGGTTTATCACAAAATTGCTTGTACAAAATGAGTTTGGTAGTTTTATCAGTATGAAACATTTCAAATCATCTAATACCCTCTTGAATGCATGTAAGAAACTCTCTTAACACAGTCATGGTGCGGTGAACATTGATGGACAGAGGGGCTCCACTCCACCACCTAAAAGAAGTCTAGAAGTCTAAGAGAGGACACAAATACTAAACATCCAGGAATCATGGAAGATTGTACATAACTTTCCATTATATCAACCATGCTGACCTCAACCCCCTCATGTTCTGTTGTGACTGTTTTCACACTACCAAACGTTCAAAAGTTTAGGGTAATTTGTTTTGTTTATATTTTATTTTAGAAATAATACCTTTATTCAGCAAGGATAAAAGGATATATTAAAATCAATTACAAATGACAGTAAAGACATTTATGTTGGAAAATAATTTAAAAAAATGGTGTTCATACTTTCCATTCCTCAAAAAAAAAAAAAATACCTGTTTCCACAAAAATATTAAGCAGATATTTGTTTTTAACATTTATAATAAGAAATCTTTCCTTGGAACCAAATCAGCATATTAGAATGATTTCTGAAGGATCAAATGACACTGAAATCTGGACTGCTGAAATGTAGAAATAAATTACATAATATATTATATAAAAATATTATATATAAAAATGTATATAATATATAAAAAATACTGTATTTTTGAGCAAATAAATGCAGTACTGATACAATAATTCTTTCAAAAACATTTAAAATATTACAGACCCCCAAAAATATTTTTTTAATTATCTGCTTTTTTCCCTTCATATTGTTTTAGCATTTTTGATTTGACCAAGTACCGAAGGGAGTGTGTATCTCAGTGTCAACATCAAACAGAACGTGCGTTAAATGACTTTCTGACTATGGCATTATTTGCATTTGTCCCCAAAAGCACATATCAAACTCATCTCCCAAAGCAAAATTACAGCAGTAACTACATTTTTACATATTCAGAAGAAAATAGAATGGTGCGAAACTCGCTCCAATGCTAAGGTGTTGTGGATGGTTTCCAAGGCATTGCCACACAGTTGCTAGGCTAGGTGGTTGCTTACTGGCAAGTTAAAAGAGCCCACTCCCCAAGCCCTGAGATTGTTTTTCCTGACAATTTTGTCATTCACCAGGATAAAAATAACATGTCCAATTGCTTAGTGGGGGGAATAAGTAAAGGAAAAGATGTGAGTTACACACCAACATTTAATACTTTGGGTTAGGCATTTGTTCAAAGCCCTAAACCCAGGGTTCCCAGGGGCTTTTGTTAGCCAAAACCCTTAGAAGTAATATATTGACTTCAAGCATCCCCTGAGATTTTGAGTTAACGTTATAATTTGCATGTTCACAGTTCTCTGATGTTGGTTAACTGTCACAACAATCCAAAGAAACTAACAAATCTATTTCGATGTATGCAAAATTCCAATGTGGTTACGTTTCTTTTTTTCATATTCATTTGTACAGTATATTCCTTGTGAGTTATCCTTTATGATTCTTTTATTGTTATAATATATTCATATTACATATTCATATTATTCATATGACTGTTTTATGTTACTCATATACTCAAGTATTATTCATTTATTCTTCTTTATTACTGTTCTTTTCTTCATATTCCATTGACAAAGTATATTTTTCTTTATTTGACATATAAAAGGTACATTTTGTTATGTTTAATGGATGTTTGAACAGGATGTTGGAAACTTATTCTCTGCAGAATATTTTTTATTATATTGCAAGGATGTTTGCTCAATTTGTCTTCGATTTTCTTGGTACCAAGTGTGCTTTTCTAAGAGCTAACTGGTATTTGCAGACTGATATTTGAAGATTTGCAAAGCTTGCTGTTTGTGCTTAAAGGATGTAAAACCACAAGTTCATCTGGTATTTTTATCTGATCTGATCTATGACCCCTATTGTCATGTCACCGTGACCTCTCTTTGACTTAGAGTAACTTGGGCAGAGAAAAACATGTGCCAGGTGTATATATAGAAAATTCCCTGACGTCTATCGATCAGACATAACATCTGGTGATATAATATGGTATGTATAGGATGTAAGTCTCTAGTATATGTATATTACTCCAGTTGGCTTCTGGCACAGTTTCTTATTTTCTTCTGCTCATATCAAATACTCCAAAGGCTTTGTCTTTTGTCTTCTTAAGATTATTATACTTAAATTTAGATTATACTCTCAGGAATTTTAACAGAATATACTCAGTATATTCAGTTTTAGATTTTGTATTAATTTTTAATGTTTTTCTATTTATTTTCATTATTATTATCATCTGTAATTGTTATCATTTATAATTTTCAATAAATAACACATTTTACTGAAAGACTTTGCCTGCCTGGATATCTTCATTGTTTTTGCATTATTTTTTATTTCTAGTAAGTGTTTTATTTTGGTTGTTTTAAATTTCAGTTTAAAATTATTTTATTTTATATTATATAAAATAAAATATGTTGCTCCTGCTGAGACATCCAGACACAAAGAAAACTACAATTCTATGGCTAATGGAAATAGTTACTTTTAAGGGTGGTACAAAATATTTATTTCTTCAATTCTTTACTTTCAAACGTACAAACGCTTGAGCTTTTAACATGTTAAATCCTCAAGTTTTTATTTGGGCAGAATACTGGTTTTGTTCATTTTGGAACAAAAATGTTGGAAAATCTGAATCTGAATATAAACAAAGTGAACGTAATGCAACAGACTATATATTTAATTAAATGGCAGTCTTTGATTTGAAAATCATGATTTCATAAGATAGATCACTATTAGTTTTATTTCAGTTTTCAATTATGCTGCGCAATTTGTTTATTTTAATGTTCCATTCAATTTAATAACTTATTAGCTTTTTAATAAACTCAAAAACCCCTTGCAGTTCCCGCACAACCCCTTATTTAGGAAACCCTACACCGAAAAATTAGACACAATAATCACCACGATTTAATCAATGCATTTATAATGCAAATGTTGTTAAAGGGATAGTACACCAAAAAATTAAAATCTCCCCCACATCATTCCAAACCTGTATGACTTACTTTCTTCTGTGGAACATAAAATAAGATATTTTGAAGAATTTTTGTAACCAAACAGCTTCATTTCCCATTGACCTCCATTGTATTTTTAGCCCATTCAATGCAAGTCTATGTGAAATTAAACTGTCTGGTTACCAACATTCTTTAAAATATCTTATGTTCTGCAGAAGAAATGCATACAGGTTTGGAAATACATATGTGACCCTGGACCACAAAACCAGTCATAAGGGTCAATTTCTCGAAATTGAGATTTATACATCATCTGAAAGCTGAATAAATAAGCTTTCCATTGATGTATGGTTTTTAGTATAGGATAATATTTGGCCGAGATACAACTATTTGAAAATCTGGAATCTGAGGGTGCAAAAAAATCTAAATATTGAGAAAATCGCCTTTAAAGTTGTCCAAATGAAGTTCTTAGCAATGCATATTACTAATCAAAAATTAAGTTTTGATATATTTACGGTAGGAAATGTACAAAATATCTTCATGGAACATGATCTTTACTTAATATCCTAATGATTTTTAGCATAAAAGAAAAATCGATAATTTTGGCCCATACAATGTTTTTTTGGCTATTGCTAAAAATATACCCCAGCGACTTAAGACTGGTTTTGTGGTCCAGGGTCACATATTTTTGCGTGAACCATCACTTTGGAGGACAGAATTTACTGCCACAATAAACTCTATTGTATTATTGTCACAGTTAAACATGTTTCCATCCTTTTGTAAAACAACATATAAATTATGCCAATTCTATTAATTAGTAAATTATGACAGAAAATTCATTTTTGATTGAACTATCCCTTTAAGAGCAGCAGAATTAACATGTTAAGGGCATAATGGCCAACAAAGGAACTGAACATAGCACTGCTCTGCAAAGCTTGTGTTTTATAGCCATCTAGAAACAACACAGGCTGCAGACGCAACACAATTCTAACCGAACATCACTGCTAAATGTGCAAAACAGATTTATGGGGAACGAAGGGAGTTTGGTGGGGCCGGTGGGGTACTGTAGGTCTGCTGTTGCCTTTGTGGACTTACTCAAGCCTTTGTCGTCACTCAGGTCCTGTGGAGCAGTCGGCAGAGAGCACGGAACAAGAGAAAACCACAAAAATAACAATGATTACTGGAACAACACATCACGTCTTACCGATGAACATTGCTCCTGCCTTGCAACAAACCCAGATATGTAGACTTCAATGGTCTCAATGGTCCACTACATTCTGTCTCTACATCAGCTCACACTGAGGTTCAGTAGAAGGGATCAACCAAATTTGCCGTCACGTTTAGGGTTGTTGCAGAAGCAAGAGTTTTGTTCAGCGGTGTTGGCGTTGCCGCGTGTGGCGCTACCCTGCCCTGCACACGCCTAATGTACTTACGGTCCACATCGCTTGTTTCCTGTTCGCTGGGGTCCTTGTTCTTGTAGAAAGGGAATTTTCGCGAAAATAGGTTCTTTTTACGCTTGTCATTGAGTGAATGCTGGGAAGGAGGAGAGGGAGGGATGGAGAACAAAAAAGGAAGAACAGATGGAATGGTGTTGGGTGTCTAGTTGAAGTATGAACAAATGCCCAACTTAACAGATGCCCATGTTACTGACTCTATAGCCACCACCATCCAATAAAATGATGCTGGAATGACAAAAATCACTAATGTGAGAACTTATAAATAGATATGAAACCAGATCTTGGTTTGGAGATGGCAACAGACACAGTAGAGTTTATGAGGGATTACCGAACATCAGATAAATTTAAAGGGTAGTTACCACAACCAAGGTTAGCAAGGTGGGTTTATAGCACAAATGCAAGGACATGCAGACCAGCCTCCTGAATTAGTTAGTTGATTAAAGTTAGTGATTGGCATTGATCAAAGGGTTTGGACAGGAACAAAGTTACAGCACACTTAAAAAGATGGACAGATGAGTAATGTGCAGGAAGAGAAAGTGAAGAGCAGTTTGACATCAATGGCAAGCGTATACATCTTTTTGTTCTCTGAAATATTCATGCACTCATGCTGCATTAGTGAATGCAGTTGAAAATGCTAAGACAGTGAAGGGTGGATGATGAGTCGGTCCGGTGCTAAACTCAATACTGCTGCAAAGACTAAAGAGTTTTAATCACTAGGGCTGGGCAATACATATTGAATTTCGACAATATATTCTGTGGTCATATAAAATTAATCAACATTGTGAATAGTGCGATGATTTTAAGGAGTTTTTTTTTCTGTTACAATTTTTAAAGATCATGTCATTAGACTACTTGTGCAGTTTTTTCTTGTATCAGTATATACTGTATATTAAACTTCATTAGAAAAACTGTGTTGGAGTAAGTTGGTAAGCGTTCTTTCTGTTAATGAGGTCAAACTTTCATTTCAGTGAATCTGTTCATAACTGATGTAATGATGTTTGTATCTTTCACTGAAGCCCATTAAGAGAGTAGGATATTTCATATAATTAAAACCTGTTAGTCACAATATTATATTAGTGTCATTATTTTATATTAGAGCATACAGTATAAATGAAAAAATATATATCATTGTTTCTGTGAGTGTGAAACAATGTGAAAAACCTACCCTGGTTATTTTTAACAAGATTTTAACTGCATTTTACAAGTTCTTACATGTTGAAGCTATAATGGCTGTTTGGCTGAAACACACACACACACACACATATATATAGGCCTATATATTTTTTATTTTATTTAATTATTTATTTTAAGTCAGAGCAAGTATTTTAATACTGTGATATATCTTGAATGTCATCAAAATGCTGACAAATATTGAGATATATAATACCGTTCTAATACAGTATATACTATCGTTCATGTTTGGGGTTGGTAAGTATTTTTTTTTTTTTGTACATTTTTGTCTCTTATGCTTACCAAGGAAGCATTTATTTGATTCAAAAATACAGTACAACAGAAATGTGAAATATTATTACAATTTAAAACAATCATTTTCTATTTTAATATATTACAAAATTGTATACAAAAATATAAAATATATATTTTTTTAATACAAAATTTAATAATAAAAAAAACAAAAATTATTTCTGTGATGGCAAAGCTAAATTTTCAACAGCCATTACTCCAGTCAGCAGTTTCAGAAGATTCTTCAGAATTCATTCTAATATTGTATGTTGATTTGGTACTCAAGTAACATTGCTTGTTACTATCAATGTTTTTTCATGATATGAAATGATGAAAGATAAAATTTTTAATAGAAAATTCAAAAGAACAGCATTTATTTGAAATGGAAATCTTTTGTGGAATTGTAAAAGTCTTTACTGTCATGTTTAATTTAATAATGAATTGAATGTGTCCTTGCTGAATAAAAGTATTATGTATAATATTGTAAATATTTTTTGCCATATTGCCCAGCCCTAATAGTCACATGCGGTTAAGAATCCTCTCACAGGAGAGAATAGTGAACAAACATACAGGATTAGTACACTACATACAGTAAAAGGGATCTGAATTAATTTCACAAATAGAAACTTTCAAACAAGCATCTCATTCATGAAGAATGATTCATCACTTGCATACTTCACTACTTTGTTAGAGTTTACACTTGCCAGCTGTTAGTCATCTTATGTGAGAACATTTTGGCTTTGGAAAAGTCACAAGAGAAAGGTGCAACAAAATGTTTCTAATGCTGAACATCTTGTTAGCAATTTTCATCTCAAATTAGCATAAAATAACAATGTTTCAAAATAGGCTACAAGGCGTGTTCATAATGGTTTCAGATTCCTTTCAAATTAAGGTTATGTCGGCATGACTGCAAGTAAACTAAAACTTTTTAAACAAAAGGCCCATTTATTATGTATTAGTCTATGCAGCTGCTTTTTAAAGGCATTAAAAGTCTGTTTGTGTCATGCCAGACATGGTAAATATTTGAGCAGCAAACACTTACCCCTTTGTCTCGAGACTTGGAGTTGAATTTAACCGTCTTTAACCTGGCTCTTTCTTTTCTCTCCACCCTGAAGAGGAAGGAGACAAAGACATTAGGAATTTAGGAATAAGTATTTTCACTGTTAATACACAACAACTGTCCTGAGTTCATTATGTACATGTGTATAATCTAAAAAAAGGGATGTTGAGAAACGTATGAAGCACAAAAACATTTGCTTTTTGCAAGGATAAAGATATTGTAGTAAGACATAATTGTCTTGAAATGGAATAAACATGTGGCGTATGTAATATTTATCCCCATATTATCCTTAAAATACATGTTTTTATGTTTGAATGGTAACATTCACCAGACGCTGATCTGACATGCTTCTTAGGGAGCGTTTACATGTGACATTTTGTTACAAAAACTGTGCTTTGATGGATCTAGATGACATCTAACCTCCAAAATCCAAATATGTTGAAGTATCATGAAATATGACGCAGATCAGAAACTTTCACCAAGAGAAATCCCAACTTGTTTCTAAAAATACAGAGCATTGCTGGCTGTCCCCTGTGCTTCAAGACCAAGCATCATCAGTAGGGAGACGAGACAGGCACATTTTTAGAACGAGGTGAGAAGTCAATTATCAAGTTTCAATCAGCATACAGTTGGGTGGAGAGAATGAGAGAGAAACTCTCACAGCATCACACATCAGTGCTGAAATATAAGGCTCTAATTGGACATGGGTGACAGTAAACCCATGACTTTGGCAAAAATAGAGTAGACTTGTTTGCATCTTTGTATTCTAAATACAATGAAATTATTTTGTCACACGTTTGTATGTAACTCACTTATAACATCTACATCTCAAGCATTCTGTCAGTTTAGTAACCAAGTATTTGATAATACTTTATTGGGGGCAAAATTGTTGGTTGTGGTGGAAAAGAAGTCGTGACTGATTTTTGATCATCTATATCTTTTCCACACAATAAATATTGAAAGCTTTTATGATTATTTGACTCTTCGTTTAAAGACTGGGACTGTGACAAGTGTAAAACTAAAGCTATACATAAAATACATTTTAAAAGCAGCAAAAATAAATAATGAAAGCACAGAAGTCTCCAAGCAGACTTGCAAAAAAAAAAAAAATAAAACCCCTGGGACATAAAAGAAAGTGCTCTTGATTGAAGAAACACCCACATTCTTCAAACAGTTTTCTATCTCTAGCTGCTGAGTCAAGTTAAAACCCTCATCACACAGAGAGCAGAGTTACTTTTACCTAAGCTTTCACTTAAGTAAGCATATATAGTCTCAAATATGCTAATTTTTAGATGCCATTGTGCAGATGTATGTGTGCTCATTGCTCATTATTACAAGGAAAAATGCATGGTAATTAAACCAAAATGAAGAAAGGCAGTGAACTGAAACGGAAGACATTGTGAAAGAAACATTAGTGGAAAGACTATGAGTAATGTGGCATTAAACACACAATTGTGTTAATCACTGTAAAGAGGGTTAACTGATATTATATTTCTACAGTACAGTGTGCTCTGGAATGCATGGGGGCACAGCCTACCTCTTCTTGCTGGGAATGACGCCCATCTCCTCCATCTCGCCATCTGGAGTCACATGCCGCGCTTGCCACCACTCCTCGTCCGAAGCATTCAGGACATGTAGGATGTCGCCAAAGTGGAAGTTCAGCCCCTGACTGGGCAGGCCGGAGTCTTTCGTTATGTCATAATCAAACAGGGCTCTGGAAGAGGGAGAATGTAATAAGAATTATTTTTCAGAGAAGAAAAAAATATGTTAATAAATCTTCTTTGTTGATAAGGTACTGTAAATAATAATAATAAATTAACATTATAAAATATATAAAAACTAAATAAAATAATAATAACAATAATTATTGCTAATACATAATGACTATATATAAAACTCCCACATAAAAGTTTGCATAATGTTACTCTTAAAAATATCCTACTGAAATTTTAGTCAAAAACATGACATTTCAAGTGGAATATTTCTAATTGTTGTGTCATTTCTGTGCCACTAGCATCACCAAACAGAAATTGCAAAAATATTTTAAAATATGTTTTTGCTTTTCAAACACTCCCCCATTTTCCATTAGTAGGACAAACTGATAGTCCCGCCCAAAGCTCATGCTATTGGTTGTGCTAATGCTGCAAAGTTTGACTGGTCTGGATGTTCAAAAAAAAAAGCATCTTTTGATTTCACCAAATAATTTACATTATATTAAGCTAGAATAGAAAAATGTATTTAAAAAAGCACTTCAGTTTTAGAGATGCAGTAGCAAGAACAGCCTTTATTTTAAAGGTCAGAGGGAAGGTAAAATTGGGGCATGTCAAACAAAATTATGATTTTCAGGGGGAGAATGAAACCTTTTCTTTAAAAAAAGCACAATAAATCAGACAGACACAACAGCAAGAAACGCCTCTAGACTGTGCCTACATGAGATTCTATGAATATTAAACAACTATAAAGACAGTGAAACCATTCTCTAGCGTAATGCCAAAGTTATTTTTTTTTATCTTACAAAGCAATTCTTCCTAACTCATTTGCCCACAGACCGATTCATTGAGATGTTAAGTAGGCCACTGCTGTTCTGTGCATGTGTGCGTGTGCATTTAAGAGAACTGGAGCTGAAGTAACTAGCTGCCCAAGCTCTTGACTAGCTTATCTCGGTTTCCTCATCAATAATGAAGCACTTCCAGGAGGAAGCCAGGGCATCGGAGAAGCTTATGGGGCTTTAAGGAACATACAGACACCAAAGCCTTCTTTAACCCTTAAAAGCACATAAAGAACCCTTATTTAACTCTTCAGCAAATGATGCAGATGATTTCTGTGCGGTCTTAATCTGCTTAGAGGTGTAATAGGCTACATTTGTATCCTTGTACAGTTGAAGCAGAGACCTTCAGAGTCATTATAGTAAACGGCTATAGCAGACCGAAGATTAAAAGCTCAATCTGTTTAGATATGAGGTTTTAATGTAATATCAGATCATAAAACTGGTGTCTCTTTCAGAAAGGTCAAAATTATGTTTGTACTATGACAGCCAGTGGAACAATTAAATATTTTTAAATGCATTTACTAGACACTTACTAGAAAATATTACTGATGATTTATCTTCCGTGGGTCATGAAAAAGGCCTAAATACATAATTTCTTAGCACTACATATTCTACATGTCACCAGTGGCCTAGTAAACCTTGACTCTGTGTCACAAACATGCTGTGGGAAATATAAACCCAAAGACGGCTGCAGCTGTACCTACATCCTTGCGTGATTTTACGCGTCCATCAAAACAAGCTACGTTGACATTGCCACAACAGCTTGTGTTAGTATACATATTTCAGAAACAGTCCCCAATAAACCAAACTAGAGCAAACAGCGTCACTGCAACATGCACTTTAGAGGCAGGGTATTTATGGAAGCGCTTCTTACTCTTCATTTCCATCACGGTTTGTTTCCATTAATCATTCATTATATACACTTACTATGTAAATCGTATGTCCTTCAGTTCATTTTAGATTAGATTTCCTGTCACTTAAAATAATGCTATTTTTCTTATGATGACCAATTTGACTCATATTTTTCAGAACGCATACATAAATACACAGGGACAATATATTATGGGTTGAGCTGAATGTGACCTACACAGCTGAAAAATCACATTAGGTTTTAAATCAGTGAATACCACATGCATGTGTAGAGAATCCAGTGCCCAGGGGCTTTCGAATCCTCAAAATGTCAAAATTGTTCTTATTAAAACACAAGAGCAGCAAACCGAGAGCTAAAGAATAAAGTCAAACAAAAGCCACATGAGAGCAAAACTTCAGGAATGGTTTTACATAATAATCCTGATCATCTATTGCTTTATGTCTAACTACTACTGTTGTGCTAGGCTATGAGCGATGGGAGTCCGTGAACACAGGAAGGTAAAAAGACTTTCTCCAAAAACATGGCAAACTTTCAGTTAATACGGAGCCCTTCATGTCTCGCCTCAGTGATACTGCCTGGAATGATGTGATTCAATCTAATGTGTAACCACTGGCCTGTATGTTCTGAGAGCAGCAAAAAACACAGGCACACTTCAGAGAATGACATATTCACATAAGGGGCCGTCTATGACACGCATTCAGCGGCAGACAAAACAATATACATAAAAAAAATACAAGGAGATGGCTGGTCAAATATTAATGAAAGCCATAACAAGATGACCAATTTTTGCCAGGGTTTTAGAGATGGATTGTGAACTGTGTGAACACATTTAGTATTTATTTATAGACATTACACCCCATTGTGTCTATGCATGAAGCCATCAGTGAAAATGCTTTTATTTTGCATTATTATACATTTTTTAAATCACACATTATATTATCAGCATGATATTATGCATGAAAATGTTTTTTTTTACTCTCGACAGACGGCACCCCGGTTGGGAAACACTGCTTTAAAGAACCATCTCTTTCTTACCTTTTTAAAATCTGAAGAACCTTTCGCCACAAAGAACCTTTTGTGAAACAGAAAGGTTCTTCAGATGTTAAAGTTTTCTTTAAGGAACCATTTAGACAATAAGGTTCTTCTATGGCATCGTGAAGCACCTTTATTTTTATTTTTTTAAAGAGTGTGGCTAATTTGTCACTTTGTGTCATTAAATCCTAACAGTTTTTAAACAGGATTGTGTTGGCACAAGCTATTAGTAAATCTGGGTGGAGTATATTTTATATGTTTATTTTTATGGAATATTTTAGAGATAAACCAACTAATAATCTCATATCACAAAATTGATCAAATCCATTACTAATACTTGCTGATATTACTGTTGTTTTCTCACCAAAATGTATGTCACCACTTTTCTACAAAAGACTAACAGGATGGAAAGTGATATTAAGGACACAAGAAAAACAATATTCACAAGAATAACAATATTTTGACTGGAGAGGAAGAAATTAATAAAGACCTTGAATATTTCATAATAGAAAAACCCCTCTCAAACAAGAGTGAAATTCTTTACAGTTCACTCCATGTACAGAATAATAGGAACGACCAACACACACTAAAGTAAAAGTCTGTAAAACACTACATATATTTTGGCTGAGCATCTCTATCTGATGTACACGTGTTCCTGTATTGCTGGAGATACTGTACCTTCTGATAAGACAACATGGATATTTCATAAGTACTGTAAAACATTAAAACGATCTTCAATAAATGATCTCTCTGTCTTGTTTTCTCTCTGAATTCACATCTTCCCTTGGTAGATAAACATAAGACAATGAGACATAATGGATGCGAACAAGTCTCTGGTGATGAACAAAAGTCTATAATTAGATATAGCAGAAATGCAAAGTCATTCATAATGAAGACTGGAGAACATGAATGTCTTCTCGCAGAGTCCATGCAGACGAAACAACAGAAAAACTAAATGCTAGTACCCCCAGGATTACATTGGTTTGAATGAATAGTTTAATGAGAGTAATGATGCATGTGCTGCCATAGAACAGTGAAAGGCTTTCATGTTATCAGGAATTCAGAACATTATCGTCATCAATTCTGTCAAACAAAACAATTAAGGGGCTTTCATAAAGTTCGAAAAGGAAGGAGGAGGCAGAAAGAGGAAATAATACGATTTGAGTCACGTTTCAAAAGAATGAAAGTTGGATGAATAATCATTAGGAGCTTTTATATTTAGAAATGGCATTAAGGCACAATGACCAAAGCTAAATCAACTGATTTGAAGTATCATTATAACAAATGTACAAGCTCCAAAGTTAACACTTCCTTTATTAGATAAATAGTAATAGCAAAGCCAATAAGCCAATAATTATTTCACGTCATGCCTTGGAAATGATAAATGGCCAAAATTCTGTACTATATAGTGTACAGTGCATAAACAAACTAACAAAAAAGCACTAAAAACTAAAATCAATCTTTTTACTGTTTCAAGTTAACTTTGGTAATACATAATGAAAATGGGTATTCATTCAGAGAATTGCTAAAGATCACATGTAACTGTGTTATTAAATGATTAATGTTTGTAAGATTAACTTAAAGTGAGTTTTAGATGATGGCAAAGGTAACAAATGTAAAAATCCAATCTTTCTGCAGATAACTGACAGGGTACAGATATAATATGCTGTGCATCCATTATGAAGAGTATCAGCAAAATACTGGCACTGATTCTCAAAAACGCCAAATATCAGCAGTGTGACTTTAAAAATATCTGGATAAAGAAACGTTTGGCCATGGATCACTTTCTTTCAATAGTGCTATGTAGACAGAGTAAGCATTCACAAAATTTTATGAGTCATCAAATCAAAATAAGACAGCTATGATCTCATGAATATGTGAATTTTAACGAGGTGCGAGAGAGGATTTAGTCTTTGTTAATCTGACTGAGTTTGTCGTCGTAGTCGTATATGCGACACTAATGTATGTGGCTAAAGCACTTTCAGTTCATACCTAATATTGACTAATACTTTAAGGCATTAAAGGAAGTTTAACTCATTTTTGACACAAGCAGAGTAAAACCAGAGTAAAAATAGAATTGCTACATGCCATCTAAGCATTACAGTGCTGCCAGATCTTGCAAGAAAAGCAAGCAACCTGGTCTGACTAAAGCAATATATTAACTATTTATAATATATTAATTATTATTCTAGTATGCACACAAAATATAAAGTACATTTCCACATTACTGAGGTAGAGGGAGGATGTTGGAAAGTCATAATTACAGAAATCAGTATCTAATAAATGCCCAAAGTTGCTTATAAAAAAAAGTTTAAAAAAAAATTATATATATTTAAACATTGGGTACGGAAAGTATTCAGACCCCCTTAAATTTTTCACTCTTTGTTATATTGCAGCCATTTGCTAAAATCATTTAAGTAAATTTTTTTTCTTCATTAATGTACACACAGCACCCCATATTGACAGAAAAACACAGAATATATATATATATATATATATATATGATTGGAAATATCTGAATCAAACACTGTTTTCATTCTGTGTGGTCCCATTGAAAGTAAATAGCGTTTGTTTCTTTGTTTGTTGAGGTATGTGAAATGGGTAAATGTCTCCTTAATTCTGTAAATAACTGGAGGGCATGTCATTGAAGCAGGACTTGTGCTTAGCCCAGCTGTGTGAGTGAGTGTGTGTGTGTCAGACACTGATGTCTTTAAGCTCCAGCACAGATCCTCAGAGCCGTTAAATCCCTCTGATCAAAGCAGTCTGGCCCTAAGGGGTTTCATTTCCTATCCAAACACCACCATCAGTGAACATTTAATGCCATTTGTCTCTCATGTCAAAAAATGGAGGCTCTGGAATGACTGCGTCGCAGTTAAATCATTACACCACAACATCTGTTCTTTAGTTAGATATCTAAAGCATCCTCTGGTTATTGCACTTAATGGAAAACACCACGCAGCACTGACATATTCACTATGAGAAGCCCTGGAGAGTTGACAAGGTCCTCCCTCAGCAGTTCTTCAGCAGCCATTGGTCAAAGTGAGTGCTGCATCTGTGCTTTCCGATGCTTTATTATGCATGTTGTCACACACTGCATATGGAGAGCAGAGGGAGTTGGATCTAATCTCAGCTCATTCTCCCCACAGGGAGCTGCCTGAACCCTGCTCGCACCTGTGGCCGCCTGATTGGGCACAACCAATCTCCATCTTGCTGACTGAATACTGGGCAGAAGAGCATGTTGATGAGATGTCTGGCATGGAAAAGGGATGACAACAACATACAGATTCACATGGAGGTCGGTCATTTCTCTGTAGAGAAGAGCGACTTTCTCTTCTGCAAAGCAGAGATGAGACTTTGCAAACTGACACCCGCACTGTAACTCAAGATGATGATGACTGTAGCGTCTGGACCAATCAAACACACAATATATATTTCGTTAGCTATATTTAACAAATACTCTGTAACACCCCTCAGTTAACAAGCCATATGAGGACCTATGGACCCTTCCCCCGAGATGCGTAACACCCCAGGAAGCCGAACAGGCCCCTGGTAGCCGATTAATTATTCATATTTCCCATGAGCTGATTCGTTACATGACAGTAGGTGTGCCTTTGTTGTATTTTTTATTTTTTTTGGAAAGCTACACTGACTCATCAACAACTATCAAGGGAAGATGAGAGACTATGCTATGGATTTGCTATGCTATGCTAAAATTTTAAACAAACATTTGGGTAAATCAAACGGGTAAATCTCAAACATGTAAATCCATGTAATCTCAAAAATGTCCATGTAATATTTAAAAAAACAAAACAAAAGGAAGGAATGAGAAATTACATTTTGTGCAAAGAAAGTTTAACTTTTTGGTAATAAACATGTTTTAGCTTGTTTTAGCATGTTGCTAGCATGCTTTAACATGCTAGAAACATGTTATCAACATCTCTCTAGCATGTTTTACCTGTTGCTAGCACACTGCTAGCATATTTTAACAAGTCATTGGCATCTTGTTAGCATGTTTTAACAATGCTAGCACTTGCTAACGTGTATTAACGTGGCTAGCATGTTTCAGAACATTGTCAAGCCAACATATAAATAAATAAACATTACATCAATTGTGAAGCATGTTAGATACATTTAAACAAAAGTACAAAGTAGCTATAATTTAAAGAAAATTGGAAAAACCTAATGAACATTTATCTTTTTAATTAAAAGGAAAAAAAAGTAAATTTTGAAAAAGTGAAATGAAACAGAAACAACCCAAAATAAATGTTTGGACAAATTTAGCAGCCAGAAAGCATGTGTAGTCCCTTATGAAAATTTATTTTATTATAGTAAAAGTGTAATAACCATGGTTTTTTAGTGTATTGATTACCATTTGTATAACCACAGTTTTACTACAAATTCCATGGTTAAACTATGGTTACTGTAGCAAGATCATGGCTAATTTGTGGTTACCATGATTTAACTATAGTAACCATGTTTTTTTTGGTCTTATTTGTAGTACAACCATGGTTAATTTTTGTAAGGGGTTGCTTGTAGTTGCTTATAAAATCAACAAGTAAAGGGCAGGTCAGGTACTGAGGAGCTCAGATTCTTCTGTTTCTCTGCAGTCTATGCCGCGTGATGAAGAGAACTGATTGTGGAACGTTCTCCTAATGAACGCCAAGCTAAAGGGCAGAGCTGCTCTGTGCTGGCCGTGAACGGAGGAGCGTGATGGGTACAGGAAGCTAGGCTCAGGAGCCACGCTAAGACAACAGCTTTCATCAAACAGAGAAAATGCTACATAAACACACATACACTCGCTAGGGGTGTGAAAGGAGCTCGGATCACACATACACACACAAACCTGTCCACAAGCTTAATTTAGACCCTCTCAGACTATCTCCAGCCAAAACTCTGAGGGTCATCACTACCCCATTGGTATTTTAATAAACACTGCAGCCAGGCCTGCCGAGTCGAAGGAAAGAACGGCCAGGCTGGACTCTACTCCTCAGGGTGAAGCCGCCGCTATGAGTCACGACCACAACACCATACAGCGAACTGTGAACATTATCACTTACATGTACATGAAATCATTATCCTTATTTCAAAACGTTGGGGTCAGTAAGATTTTTTTTTTTAAAGAAATTTTGACTTTTATTCAGCAGAGATGCATTCAACTGATCAAAAGGGAAAGTAAAAACATTTATTTATAATAGTCCAAAAGATTTTATTTAAAATAAATGCTAATAAATTTCTATTTCAAATTAAAGAATTGTGAAAAAAATTCAAATTTGGCATTACAGGAAAAACATATAATGTAAAACATATAATCCAAATGTAAAAAAGAATAATATTTCACAATATTACTGTGCATACTGTATTTTGTCAAATAAATAAATCAAGTCCCACCCAACATTTTTTCTTGCCCAATGTCAGTCTTGTGCAATATCAGATTATGGAAGAAAAATGAGTTGCGAATGGCATTTCATGTTAACTTTAAATACACTATTAAATATACAATTAATAAGATTTTTTTTAAAAGAAATTTTGACTTTTATTCAGCAGAGATGCATTCAACTGATCAAAAGGGAAAGTAAAGACATTTATTTATAATAGTCCAAAAGATTTTATTTAAAATAAATGCTAATAAATTTCTATTTAAAATTAAAGAATTGTGAAAAAAATTCAAATTTGGCATTACAGGAAAAACATATAATGTAAAACATATAATCCAAATGTAAAAAAGAATAATATTTCACAATATTACTGTGCATACTGTATTTTGTCAAATAAATAAATCAAGTCCCACCCAACATTTTTTCTTGCCCAATGTCAGTCTTGTGCAATATCAGATTATGGAAGAAAAATGAGTTGCGAATGGCATTTCATGTTAACTTTAAATACACTATTAAATATACAATTAAACACAAATGACAGTGTCACTGCAACTGAGTTTCTTCCCATTATCACAGTCCACCATCCATGTAATGGTTTTCTGCCATGCCCAGCTATAAACAAATAAGCATTTGTAGTATTCAGGCTATGCTGCATCTAATCAAGTTTTTCAGCTAAAAGCTAGAGTTAGTGTCTTAAAAGAGATTTTCTCTAATAAAATAGCTGTGGGGAAACACAAATTTGAAGCAAAGTGTGGAAATTAATTAGTATAAAAGTAAGGTTATGAGATGTAGGCTTGAATCAAGTGTAGGCTACATTTGGTGGTATCAGAATGAAACATGACAGACCCTTATATAATCAACTGAAATAAACAAAAGGACTGAAGCTGTCATGTTACAAAGGAAAGGCCTAGAAATCCAGTTCTAAATGGAATCATGCCATAAGAATGTTATTTTATTTATTATTGTTAACATTGAAACATACTGGTCTGTCTGAAATATTGTGAGAGGAACTGCCTACCTTCAGGTCTGTACTGAGCCACGATGGTGACAGTCTGTCCAGCATTCTTCAGTGCTGCAGCTGCCTGTTCGTGCGTTGCACTGCGGAGGTCCACCCCATTTACCTATAGCACACATACAATATTAATAAATAAGCACTGATGAAAAACGCAGCCAGTGGGGTCCAACAGTCTGAGAATGCATGGAAAATTCAGAATGTAAAATCTACTATAAACCTGGAAAAATTATTTTAAAGTTTATGCTGATTGAGTGCTGTTGTAATTAAAAAAGAAATATACAAAGACATTCTGAAATGCACTGAAATTTCAAATCAATGTTTCTCTGAAATGGTTATGCTGATGATACCAAATCATTATTTCAGTAAGATTGAAAAATATTTGACAATGAACAATAGTTGATGACTGAACAACTTTTTTCTTACAGAGATGATACGGTCTCCTTTCCTTAATTCTCCACACAGGTCTGCAGGCCCTCCTGCTAATATGAATGAGATGAAGATTCCCTCTCCATCCTCTCCTCCTACAATGTTGAAGCCTAGTCCCGTGGTGCCCCGATGTAGGACTATTTTCCTAGGCTCCCTAAAAAAACACAACCAGCATTTATTAGTTGTGAGTGAACAGGTCAGGAAAGCATGCTTACAAAATATTTTGACCTACTGTACACACACACCAAACTAAACAAATAATTACTATTAAAAACCTAAAAGTATTCAAAACTGCATTCGGTTATTTCTGATTTTTTATTTTTATTTTTTTCCATATGGATAAAGTGTAACTGTATAAGTTACACTTCATCAATGACATTAAGGGAGGCAATAAAAGATAAACTAATTTACTAACTATTTAAAAAAGTGATAAACTAATAAAATAAACAAATTAAATAAAATACAAATATAAGTCAAAAAACGTGAACATAAGAAAAATAGAAATGTTCCTATTTAACTATAAGTTTAACTTATAAATTAAAATGACTAAAGCTCAAAATCAAATAAAAATAAAGCTAAACAGAAATATTTATCAATATATATTTTAAAAATTGTTTTAATATATTTTTATATAACTTCAATAGTTTCATAGTTTTAACTCAATTAAAAATCAAGCCAGTATGTCCTTACATAAATTATTTGCCACTTCAAAAAACTAAAAAATAAATGAATAAATAAATAATAAAAATATATTTGACCGCATCACTGTCTAGTAACCAAAATATTAACTACACAAACTACACAATAAAGGTAATAGCTGAATTCAAAAATCCATTTAAAAAGTAAACCAATATGTGCGTGTATTGCTATGACAGCATCATCCCCTTGGCTTGGATTAATTCTTTGTCATCTCAGAAAGAAAAAAAAATGTAAAAGATTGAATACATTTGACCGCATCTCCCTCTAGTGAACAAAATGTGAACTATAGAGAGGAGTTTGTAAAGCTGCACCACATTTTTGATGTGTGCATACATGTGGATGTCTGTAGATGGCAGCAGATCCTCAAGTTACTGGCTCTGTAGCATTTCAGTATTTTCAAAACAAACCCTCACTCAACATGGCTACAGCCTACAGACACATCATTTAACCCTTAACACACTTTAAGAACAAAGGCAGAACATCATGACTTCAGAACATTCACATAAACTTCAGTTATAAAACAGTGTTTTTATACCCGTCCTGTCGAATTAAGTCTTAATTCAAAGCTTTTCAGATTTGCCAAAATTGACTTCACAGATTGGTTGGTCATATCATGACGCTAGTTTATGACGTAAGAGGCTGTTTGTTTTTAACATCAATTTGACGTATTTGGTGAAATCTTCCGATAGGAAACAAATCCCCCCGATTAAAGAGGATTAAATATGGTAAAGCACACCAGTCAGTATGTATGTGTGTGTCCTTGTTATGAGTCCACTTTTCTCTACCAGACAAAATATGGCGGTTTGGCCAATATCATTTGCAAGCCAGCTCTCATAATACTGCTCTCTACTGATGGACAGCTCTTAAGAAATGAGCAAACAAATCAGGTAGGCGAGAAGGTGAATAGTCAACAGGACAAATCACAGATGCTATATCTTAATGGGCCAATATCTTCAACAGCTCTCTAGAGGACATTTCAAACTGTCCAACAAAAGCTGTGAGTAATCTGTCATATGTCCCCAACAAATGTGTCCTTGTGAACCAGGTCCTCAAGCAGGGTGCCTCAGAAAACTTCCAAAGGGGCCTCCAAATGACTTAAAATGATCAAAAATAAAGGGTAAAGAAGCATTAAATTAAGTTAAAACAACTACAAATCAAGAAATTATGTTTTTTCTTTTTTTCTTTGAAGAACCAGGGTTCCCACCATCTGGATATATGAGGTTGCTTGATTTAAAAAATGTGATTTATAGACCTGTAAATTAATAAAATATGAGAAAAGTTTACACTTCAGACATGGATATGATGACATAATCATGTCTAACTGGGTAAAAACCTATTATTAAGTACAGTATGAACTTATGGGACTTTTGTAGTATGAAATTGAAACTTTGTAGAATGAGTTTCTTGAGAACCAAATCAGCATACTAGAATAAATTCGAAGGAATCATGCAAAGACTGGAGTAATGACTGCTGAAAATTCAGTTTTGCCATTACAAGAACAAGTAAAACTTTCAAATATATTATAAAAGAAAATAGTTATTTTACATTGCAATCATATTTCACAATACCTTTTTTTCATTCTGTATTTTTAATCAAATAACAGACCCCAAAGCTTTGACCAGTAATGTACAATGTACAGTAATGTCATTTAAATTAATATTAATTGAATTCCGTTATGCTAGACTGACAGTTAAAGGTGTGCAGGAATACTGGAACATATGTAGCAGCCAGCCAATCAAAGTACAATTGGCAAGTTTGATAAAGTTAAAAGTTGAGTTTATAGTCATTTGAGTTCAAGTCATTGTTGTAGGGCTGCTCGATTATGGCAAAAATCATAATTGTTCTTACGTGTTCTGTCTCTGAGTGCATATATCTTCCTGAGGAAGTGCAAGTTCTCTTTAGTGCTTTTAAAAACATGAATAAATCTAATATACTTAAATCAAGCACGTCCCATTTTGCAAAAGTCGCGTTACATGATTTTACTGATTTACACATAAAATTGGGCTTTTATGGAGGAACGAAAGCGCAGCGCTGGAAAGGAGGCGGAATGGGGCGCAATAATCATTTTATCGTGATTATTGTATTTTCATAATCGTTGGACGCCAAAATTAAAATCAAAACTGTTTTCCGATTAATTGCACAGCCCTACATTGTTGTGTGCAATATTCCTCACATGGCTAGCCATAACAAAAAATTCTTGAACCCCAGTAACAGGGAATAAAGGGAATAATCCCAAAAACCTGATAAGACTTTCATAAGGGCAGTAACAGCAGAATGAGGCCAGACAAACTAACAACTTCCAAGACTAATGTGAGGAGTTGTACATGAGTGTTCTATATAATCTGTTTTGTAGTATAAAAAGTCAGACCCATTATGTAGATATAAAGCATGTACTAAAAATTCCATTAACCTTGGGCAGCTTATCTTATGTGTAGAGAAATGCTATTCTATTTGAACCTCATATCTATTCAAAATTATAGAGCTGTCTTCACACCAAGCTACATGTAATGAAACTTATATAGCATTATCTTCCAAAAATTCAGGAGGATGATACAGAGAAAAGACGTGTCGGAAAACTAAAAACAGCCCTCGAATATGTGATGAGAGTAAAAGTAATGAGAATGAGTGAGGTCAAAGGATATGCCTGCATAAAAACAGTTTAAAAGCAAGTCATGATCTGTAACAACTTTCATTTGAAACACATGACCATTTCACTTCGCAAGGTCAAGGAATCGTAATTGGAACGATAGGAACTGCACAGACGACCTCTGAACCAAAAGCCATCAAAAGTAAAATTATGGCAAAAGGATATCATGATCATGAAGACAAAGAAATGAGGAGGGCAAAGGCTCACCTTGTGATCTCATCATCTCCCGGCATGCCTTTTGAGATAGGAGAGTACCGAGGTGGAGTGGCGGGGGTTAATGGCTGACTCAGATAGCTTTGGGTGCTGATATGGTTCTCCATGTGCTGGGAATAGGCTGAAAAACCAAAACACAAAAGATGTGATGTTATTGGTGTACTGATGAAAACTCATTTGACAATGTTCATAGAGGTCAGGACAGACAATCGCATCACTCATATGTAATAATGTGAAGAATTACATGCACAGACAAGCCAAAGACTAAAACTGCTGAAGAAAAAAAAACTTGCTGTGTAAAAGTAAAATCATAATTGATCACTCCCTCTTTGCAAACAATCTGCTTTTCTTGTAAATCAGCTCTCTTGTATACTAAACACTGCTGTTCAAAAGTTTGGGGTAAGTAAGTTTTTTTTTTTTTCTCACCAAGTCTTTTTATGCTCACCAAGGCTGCATTTATTTCACCAAAAATTAGATTTACATCAATGCACTTTTATCCGAAGCGACTTTCAAAAGAGGAGGTACTATTGTGAAATATTATTACAATTTACAACAACTGTTTTCTATTTTAATATATTTTAAAATGCAATTTATTCCTGGGATGATAAGGCCAAATTTTTACTTTAGTCTTCAGTGTCACATGATCCTTCAGAAATCATTCAAATATGCTGATTTAGAGCTCAAGTAACATTTCTTATTATTATCAATATTAAAAACAGTTGTGCTGCTTAATACTTTTAATCCATCTTTTTCAGAATTCTTTGATGAATAGAAAGTTCAAGAGAACGACATTGATTTGATAAATAAATATTTTGTAACATTATAGGCTAAATGTCTTTACTGTCACTTTTGATCAATTTAAAGCATCCTTGCTGAATAAAGGTATCAAGTTTTCACTTCAAGCTCCAAAAAGGACCAAAAGAACCCCATACATTTCCATAAACACAGTCCGTATGACCAGTGCGCTATATTCAAAGTCTTATAAAGACAGAGTAGTAAAAGATTCTTCAAAAGTCCCTCACAGCATTCTACAGTCAATTTTAGTGGCCGTCCTCACAAGCTGCTGCCCCCATCAGTAGAAAGTGCTGTGTCTAGCAGCTTTGCGGTGGGATTTAAGTTATAAGTGCGCATGGGACCTCAGAACTGAGTCAAAGTGCCTTTAAGGCAAGTCGGTTCATTCTCTGACCATATTGATAATGCCTCCATGCTGTTATTTTCTATGTAAGTAAAAGTCTTTTTCTTTTAATAAAAAAAGAATACAGTATGAAGTAGTAACGAAAAGCTTACTTACAGCTGGTGACATCGGGAGGAACGTAACTATCATTCATAAAGACACTAGTGGGTTTCGCCACTTTTAAATAGACGACATCAGGGGTGTTTTTCAAGGCAGCCACGGCATCTTCATGAGTGACCTCTTCAAGGCAAACTGCATTCACCTGTAACCAGTGTTGGGAGTAACGCATTACAAAAGTAATAATATTACAGTAGTATATTACTTTTGCTGTAACGCAGTAATATAATGCATTACTAATCAAATTTGGGTAATATTATTACTCGTTACAATCTCAGTAACGCAAGTTAAAACAACATATTTTAACTCAAAATTAAGTGGTGAATTTACTAACACCGCAAAACAGCACCAGAGAAAAAATTCTGCGGGTAAAAATATTATTACAATTTACAACAACTGTTTTCTATTTTAATATATTTTAAAATGCAATTTATTCCTGGGATGATAAGGCCAAATTTTTACTTTAGTCTTCAGTGTCACATGATCCTTCAGAAATCATTCAAATATGCTGATTTAGAGCTCAAGTAACATTTCTTATTATTATCAATATTAAAAACAGTTGTGCTGCTTAATACTTTTAATCCATCTTTTTCAGAATTCTTTGATGAATAGAAAGTTCAAGAGAACGACATTGATTTGATAAATAAATATTTTGTAACATTATAGGCTAAATGTCTTTACTGTCACTTTTGATCAATTTAAAGCATCCTTGCTGAATAAAGGTATCAAGTTTTCACTTCAAGCTCCAAAAAGGACCAAAAGAACCCCATACATTTCCATAAACACAGTCCGTATGACCAGTGCGCTATATTCAAAGTCATATAAAGACAGAGTAGTAAAAGATTCTTCAAAAGTCCCTCACAGCATTCTACATAAAAAAAAATAATGCTACCACTTTCTATTTTAATGTGTCTTTGTCACACTTTACATGCAAGTAAATTATGCACAGTTAAAATCAACTAACACTAAACCCTAATAAAGTAAATACATGTAGTTAATTAATTTAACTTATTACTTACTTGTGAGATTACACTGTAAAAAGGAAACATTAAAATAAAGGGTTACACTTTATTTTAAGTTGTAAAATGTAGCTAAAATAAATTGTTTGCAACCACTTACCTTAAAAACAACACTAAGCTGAATATGCAAAATATTTGACTTAAATAGCCCAATTAACAGATTAACAAAATGAAAGGAAAAGACTGAGATATGCTGCTGAGTTTGGTTCATAGGCTATTTGTGTGGCGCGGCGCTCTACAAAAGTCCACGGAAAGGAAACCGAGATGACAGAAATAAAAGTAAACACATTGCAGTTTCGAATGATCTGTATGACCAAAAATACAGAGTATTTTTTTGTTGTTTGTTTCCGCTGTTCCATCGCGCCGGC